GAACCCGCCACCTTAGGTGTACGTGGCTGGCGCCTTAGCCGGTTGAGCTATAGGCGCCGAGCCTACTTTTCTATTTTTAATCTTGCTCAGGCTCGTCTTGAACTCCTGAACTTAAGAGATCCACCCACCTCGGCCTCCCAGAAAGCTAGGATCACAGGCATGAGCCACCATGCCTGGCCTCTGGCCTGCAATTATTTACTTTACTTATTTAGAAACAGGGTCTTGCTGTTTTGGCTAGACTGCAATGCAGTGGCTATTCACAGGCACAATCTTACTGCACTACAGCCTTGAACTCCTGGGCTCAAATATCTTCCTGCTTTAACATCCCAAGTAGCTGGGACTACACACCACTATGTCTGGCTAATTTTTAAATTTGTAGAGGTGGGGTCTTGCTATGTTGCTTAGGCTGGTCTCAAATTCCTGGCTTCAAGCAATCCTCCTGCCTCAGTCTCCCGGTGTGGTAGGATTATAAGTAGGCGCCACTGCACCCAGCCTGCTTCCAAACTTATAAATATCCTATAGAGAGCAAGTTACTTAGGAAATCAGAAGAAAATGATTTATCTACTAATAACTTCTCGAACCAAAGAAATGAGCACCAGAAGGCATATTTAAGTGATTTCACATTCGCATGTATTTTACTAGGTTACCTCAATTAAGTCCAGGCTAATTCTTAACAATTTAATTATTATTTTAATTTACATGTAAATAGTCCCTCCACCTAAACAAAAATAAAAACAAAACCAATTTCAGTAACTTTTATCTTTGTAAAAAATAATTTCACCTACTTTAATACTTTAGCAGCAGTCTAATCAATAAAATAAGGGACTTGGACAAGAACTCTCTATCTATTTTTTGTTCTACTACTATATGTTTGTACAGTGTCATTATCCTTATTATTTATGTTTCTTTTTTTCTTTTTGAGACAGATTCTCACTATGTTGCCCTTGGTAGAGTGCTGTGACTTCATAGCTCACAGCAACCTCAAACTCCTGTGCTCAAGCAATTCTCTGGTCTCAGCCTCCCAAGTAGCTGGGACTGCAGCTGCCCGACATGGTGTCGAACTTCTGAGCTCAAGCAAACCGCCCATCTCGGCCTCCCAAAGGGCTAGGATTACAGGCGTGAGCCACCGAGCCTGGTCCCATTATTTATGTTTCTTTTTGTTTTTCTGAGATAGGGTATGGAGTCCCACTCTGCAACCCAGGCTAGCATGCAGTGGCATCACCAGAGCTCACTATAACCTCAAACACCTGGGCTCAAGTGATCCTCCTACCTCAGCCCTCGAGTAGATAGGACCACTGTGCCAGGCTAATTTTTTTTAATTTTTTGTAGATGGGGTCTCAGTATGTTGTTTAAGCTGGTCATGAATGCTTGGCCTCAAGTGATGTTCCTGCCTCAGCCTCCCACAATGCTAGGATTATAGGCATGAGTCACCACACCCAGTCTATCTTTATTACTTAAAGCCAAAAATAAGAAACCAGAAGCTACTCTGGTAGCAGCATTTTAAAGATGAGCTATAAATGTAAAAAAGTGGAATCTACTTCTACAGAGGAGCAGTTAAATATACCTTAAGCAGAGAAGTATCTTAAGCAGAATAAGGAAACTGTAAAGAAAATCCATCTTCACAAAAATACTGAAAGAAAACTTATATAAAATCTTTAAACAAGGCTCGGCACCTATAGCTCAACCGGCTAAGGCGCCAGCCACATACACCTAAGGTGGCGGGTTCGAATC